ACAGAGTGATCTAGTGACCTAGAAGTTCTGTTTTGTGTAAATTTAAAAGCAATTGCATGGTTGGGTTTATAAATGTTCAAATGAGGCATACTGTTGCTACCCTGAGTTTGAATATCTAAATAAGTTAAAATGTTTAGGAGAAAAAGAAATGGTGGAAGAACAAACTCCTAGTAGTGGTTTGACGTTCCTAGGTAACCTCTATCTTGCTTCAGCATTAATCTTTCAAAAAATGCCATGTACTTTAAGTTTATTCCCAAAAGAAAAAAAATAAAGAAGTGTTGTTTTAGATGATGTTTGAATATCTTTGGGTGGTAGCAATGGATCTTATCACTTGTATCTGTAAAATGGAGTCCCTTATAAATACATTTTCGAACATTTTTAAAATTTGAAAATCAATGACGTTGCCAATATTGTGGAACAATGTTGCTTCAGACATCTTTGTTAACAATAAAAAATTGTTGTTTCGATGATGTTTGAATATCTTTGGGAAGTAGCGATGGATCTTATCACTTGTATTTGTAAAATGAGTCCCTTGTAAAATTTGATAATCAATGACATCTAATACTGTGGAAATGGTGTTGCTCTGCATGTATTTGATTGAGATCTATCTCCTTCTGGAATCTCTTTTTCTTTTTTCACTGGAATATGTACATGTGATTTCTTTCCTGTTTATGAAATTATTCTTGGTGTTAATTTTGAATGTTTTATTTATAATAAGAATCTTTCCTTCAGGTTCGAAGAGATGGGACTAGAATGTCTCTTGCCCAAAGCAAAAAGTTATCACAACTTACTGCTGACAATGCTCAGTGGGAAGACAGACAGCTTTTGCGATCTGGAGCTGTAAGGGGAACTGAAGTGCAAACTGAGTTTGATGAGGAGGAGGAACGTAAAGTTATTCTCCTTGTACATGGTAAGACGACTCCATGATAAATTAGTAAATGAGTGGTTGAATCAGTTGGACGTGTAGATAACAGCTGCTTGAACTGCATTTTTTCTTTTTTTGTTACAGATACAAAGCCTCCTTTCCTGGATGGAAGAGTTGTTTTTACTAAACAAGCAGAGCCAATAATGCCTATCAAAGATTCCACATCAGACATGGCTATTATTTCACGCAAAGGGTCTGCCCTGGTGAGGGAAATTCATGAGAAGCAAAGTATGAATAAGTCACGCCAACGCTTTTGGGAGCTTGCTGGCTCCAAACTTGGTGATATTCTTGGTGTTGAGAAAACAGCAGAGCAGGTATTTAGTCGATGAAGATGATATCTTTTTTACTCTTTAAATCTTTCTTTGTTGGTGTTTTTGTGTTATGTGGTTCGGTACTTAATTGTGTCATTCTTGCTGTAGATCGATGCTGACACTGCTGTAGTAGGTGAACATGGTGAAATTGATTTTAAGGAAGATGCAAAATTTGCACAGCATTTGAAGAAGCAAGAGGCTGTAAGTGAATTTGCTAAGTCCAAAACCATGGCAGAGCAGCGACAATATCTGCCTATATATTCAGTACGAGATGAGTTATTGCAGGTTTGAGGTCTTCTTTTTGCTATATATTTGGATGTTGTAAATCAGTCTAAATTTTTTTAATAGAATATAGAAATTGAAACTTTTTTATCCTCTTTGCATATTCCTATCTCTACTGGGACTCACGGACGTTGCTCTATATCTAGAAAAGTAAAAAATTAAAGCATAATGATTTGATTTTTCATGAAAGGCTTTCTGTAGTGCTTTATGATCATTACTTTTTTTATGCCCCAAAAAAGTAATGACTTGATTA